GATGCATGGCAATTTCAATCAATGAGTACTCATGTCAAGGCATCGATCCATTTCTACACATATGAGAACTAAACACTTGCACCAACCTAATGCAATTCTCAATCATTATAATAGGATGCACTCAATCGCAAGAAAACAATCCAAAGTCAATGCCAATAAACACAAGATTCTACGATAACCGGCCACTTCGATCAAGGATTCATACATATTCACATGCCAATCACAACTGATACACCCCCACACTTAAGCACAACATTGTCTGCAATGGAGAATAAGGGTAAGGTGAAGAAGTTACCAAAAATTTGCTAGTGAATGTTGAACTTAGACTGGGTAGCAGATGGGAGCTTCACAAAGAAGAAGAAAACACAAAAACACACACGAACATACTCGCATAAAGTGAGGTTATTACACATAACAATATTTGATACACCTAAATTGGTGTTATTTACTCTTCATATTTAGGTTTGTTTCATGCTAATTCATGTGCATAATTGTTAGAATAGCATCGATTGTATCCCTATTTCGTTCCTATTTGATCATGATGTGATTTTAGGGTGCTTTAGACAATACATGCGAATTAGGTAAGGAAAAGGGCGCAAGTGTAGCAAAATGGGCAGGAAGCTGATGATCATAGCCTGGAGAAGTAGATCATGGTCGAGAAAGCAGATTAGGAAGCTATGGCGAAGATCGCGGTCGCGAATCTAGAGGCTTCGGGCGCAAACTTCGTGAAGAAGCCAGCCGAGGAGAAACCGAGAGTTTCTCGAGTCTTATCACGACAACTATTCACCATAACCACGAGGAAGTTTGCGGCCGCAACTCATGAATCGTGACCGTGAATTCGGCTCGCAAACTCCTCGAGTTTGAAGACCAAAATGGCAAAGCCTGAAGATTGCGGTCTCATGGAAGAAGATCACGGCCGCGAACTTTCCCCTGCTTGGCAGTGAACTTGTCCGTCCGTAGAAGTCTATAAATAGAGGACCAATTCCCCCATTTGAAGGGAGCTTATTTGAGATAGAAAGAGAAGAGAGAGAAGATGAAGGAAGAAGAAGAGGAGAAGAATAAGGAGAAGTTAGAAGAGAGGAACCATATTCCTCAACATCAAGTCTTCCCCTAATTATTCTATGTATCTTCTTCCATCCTTTATGGAGTAATCTTCTAAGGTACTAGGGGTTCCAAACCCCAAACCCTAGTTTTAGGGCTATTATGTAATGTATGAATATGTTAGGGTTGTGAATGAATGTGTTTATCTAGTTGATTTTAATGCTTCTCTAGCTTGAATTGTGTTTGGGTAAGTCACCCAAATCTTCTCTAATAGCCTACTTGAGCTTCTATGTTGGGTATGGAGTTAAGAGTTAGACGAGTATGTGTCATCTTGGAAATTAGGGTTAGATGATTGAATATGATCTTGTGGTGGACGAGGCGACCGTACCCCTGACATAAGAATTCCTTCCTGGATAGAACCTGGGATGAAACCTTGTTGTGGACGGTGGATAATACCCATTGAAGTGATCTATGTTCTTAAACCCACAGATACGATAGCCTAGATCAAGGTGACAAGCATGGGTTTAGGGGAGGCTTACTCGGAGACGTGTGGATAACCATGAAAGCCCATGGAAAAGATCTCACTCACCACATTCACTAAACCCAACTTATTTAGACATTGCATAGTATACCTAGGCTAGGGTGAGTGATAGTTCCCCGAAGGACCTGCATTTATCCTTATTTATTCTCTTTACTAGTTATTTCGCTTGAATCCTCCAACACTACCCCTTAATTCGATTGGCTAGATAACAACAACATGGGAAGTAGGATATAGTACCGAGACACAAGTGATTACAACCTTGATTTCCACTATACGACAATGCCATTTTAGGTTAAACTTGGCCTAGGAGGGGGTAGTTCTTGAAACGTGCTAAATATTGACAATGACTTGCACGAAATGAATCAATCAAGCTTTTTGAAAAAACTTGATCGCTTCTGCGTGATCGAGCTTTCAATTTATATGTCGATGCGCACTCTCTATTCAATCCTAACTAAGACAAGTATAACCTAGATAGGGTTGTAGTATAGTGGCTCGATCGTATTCCAAGGGAACCCTAAGCTTATTATTACTTCACTCTAAACTACTATCTAATCAGTTCAGAGGTTTGGTGAAAGGTCTAATCTAACTTACTCCTAAAGGCAAAATAAACAACCAACCAAGTGGTTGGGAGACCTCTAGAAATGAGATGGTTGCCTAGAATCGAATTCCCCTAGTTATAGCCAGTAAGTTGAGTTAGTGGATATGGTGCGGAACTCTCTGATCAAGGGATGTCCCCCAATTCCTAGCGTTACCCACGAAAACCCAATGTCACCTCTATCTAAGTTTCCTCGCTATTGATGCTCTCTTAGTTCCTTCAAATAGGTTCAACCTATCACACACTATTGGGTAAACTCCCATAGCATTGTTCTAGGAAGGCACTATTGAGGCGGGGGGTTATGTGGCCTCGTCCACCTCAAAGCCCTAAGATAACTCACTATCACTAGTTTTCCAGATGGCACATTACCCGTATAAGCCTAAAACTCCATACCCAGTGTAGTAGCTCAAGTAGGCTAGTAGAGAAGATTAGGGCGACTTACCCAAGCATAACTATCTACACATGAGGCATAAATTCACTAGAACAACATACCCATAGATAAAATCATTCAAATACTTCATCTATTCTAAACAATCATTAGAGATTCAAGTCATAGAAAGAGAAAGGAAAATACAAACTAGATTCTTTTCCTTGGGATCTTCAATGAAGCTCTCCCAAGGTGTTTCCCTATCTAAGACACTCCAAAACCCTAACCTTCTCACACTATTGGCAGTGGTCGCGGCTATGACATGGCCGTGACCAGCTGCAACATCTCTGAATCGTCCGAAATGACGCGTTTTGACTCCTTCTTTAAGATCCAAGATCACGGCCTCCTTCATAAGATTGTGGCTGTGATCTTTGTGTTCTAGACACGATCATTTTCGCAGTCAAAATGCACCATGTCTACGATTTGACTGGGGAAACTTTCTGCCTTCTTCTTGGTCGCTTGTTGAAGTTTGCGGTTACTTTTCATGGCCGTAATCCTCAGTCTATGAACATGGTCATGGCATGGTGGTCACGCCCATGACATGAGGCTGTGACCAGTGCGTCTCCTCCCCTTCTTGCTTTTATGCTTCCCAATCGTATTTGGATAATTTCATCACAAAAACTTGGAAAAGCATAAAATACGACAAAGTGGGGTCGATTCCCTTATGAAAACCTTCATTTCAAGAATACCTATGCCAAAATGGATGTTTTGCAAATAGGAACAAAAATAGGCATAAATAACTTGATATGTGGCCTAAACACGGTGATTCCACACGCAAATTACTTTAGAATAAGGGCTAAATAACATCTATTTTAGGTGTTATCAATATTCAACATGAAAGTTCGAAGAAGAAAAATCACAAACCTTCGTTGGGTTGCCTCTCAACAAGCACTAGTTTAACATCTCTAGCTAGATGGTACTGATCTTCATGCTTCTGAGTACGTGGCCTTCGAGAGTGGATCTGCCACAGTCTTGGGGCAAGGCTTATCGCCTCTCATCTTAAGCTCCAAAGGATGGCCCTCTTGGCTTATCACTTTCGCTTTGCCCTTCTCCTTCCTGTGGGCCAAATCGTGATTCATCTTTTCACGCCAAGCTTTCTTTTGCGTCCCTTCGGATTTAGTACATGCCTTAAGACCCTACTTCAATTGATCACAAGGATGAAGAGCAATAATGGGGTTTTCCTTGATTGTCCCACCTCCACTTTCAAACACACCATTAGATTCTATCCCCTTGACATCATCATGCTTAACCTTAAGGTAAATCGAAAAAGTAATTTCTTCCTCTCCATCTCTCACGATTAATGTGCCCTCATTAACATCGATTAACGAATTGGCGCTGGCAAGGAATGGGTTTCCTAGTATGAGGGGCATATCCACATCTTTACTAATGTCAAGGATGATGAAATCATTCGGATAATAGAACGTGCCCACTCGTGCTAGACTTCCTCCACAATGCCTCTAGCACTAATACAGAACGGTCAGCCAATGTAACACTTAACCTAGTGGGTTTTAGTTCACCTAGGTCTAATTTCTTATAAAGCTTATATGCATGACATTTATCCTTGCTCCTAAATCCGGCAATGAATTCTCTATATGGCATGTTCCAATGCAAAGGGGGATATTGAAGCTACCTGGATCTTGTTGCTTTTTAGGAAACTTGTTCTGGATGGAGGTCGAGCACTCCTCACCCAATGTGATAGTTTGCATACATTGGCATGTACGCTATTGCCTCTAGGAAAGGAATTGTGATATTGAGCTTCTTAAGCATCTCCATGAATTTGTCGCATTCCGCCTCCAAATGGTCTTTGTGCACCCTTATAGGTAAAGGGAGAGGAGGCTTCTACTCAACCACTAGGGGTGGCGTTGGCGGTGCCTCATTAGCCTATTCACCCTCTCCTTCCAAGAGTTCTTATTGATCGACCTATGGAGGGGCTTCATCCTCTTCAATTATCTCCTTAGCAACAACTTCTAGAGTTATCTTCCCGCTTCTCAAGACAATAGCATTCAACCCGACATTTTGATCATTGGGGTTGGAAACAGTTTGGGAAGGCAGGGCTTCTCTAGGTCTTTTGGTGAGGATCCCTGCAAGATTGCTAATTTGGGTCTCCAAGTTTTGAAGACTAGCTTGATGACTTCTTAGACCCACCTCAACCAAAGTAAACTTGTTTGTCACTACCTCCTTAAATTTCTTAATCTTATCGAACTTTTGAGAACTTATACTCGCAAAGGTGGTGACTAGGTCTTCTAGTTTTGTGAACTTGTCGGGTTGTTGTTGTTGGAACCCTTGACCACCTTGCGGTTGAAATTATTGTTGTTGGAAGTTTGAGCCTTGAAATTGTGGCCTTTTTTGAATGAAAGGAGGCCTTGGTGGATAGTATCCCGTTGGTCCTTGGAAACCGTGATGTCTTGAATTTCTTGGGGAATACCATGCAAAGTTGGGATGGTTGCGCCAACCTAGATTGGAAGTGTTGCTATAGGGGTTGTTGTTGTTTTTGTTAACCCCTCTAGTGTTAGCGATGAAGCTCACTTTCTCTTTCGGAGTGCTTGCTTCCTTCATCAATTGACACTATGAAATCTCATGGTTGAGACTTGAACACCAATCACATGCCATCACCATCTTCTTGCCCTGCTTCTTGCCTTGTAGAAGCGCTGATATCAACTCATCAATCTTCGCGGTGATTGGAGGATTCACCTCTGTGGAGTGTACTCCCTTCTCGACTGCCCTTCTCCCACGTCTCGTCAAACCCCAATCATACCCCTTTGTCTCTATATCTCAAACAAAGCGGGCGGAGTCTTATTCATCATGTTTCTTGAAACAAGGAGTCAATAAGAATTCGATCTTCTAGGTGAAGACCTTCGTAGAAAGTTTCAATCCGGAAATGCTCTCCAAACCCGTGGTGTGGACATTGGAGTAAAAAGTTAGAGTATCTTTCTCATGCTTCTCTCAAAGTCTCGTTCTCTTCTTGGGCGAAGTGAGTGATCTTCTTACACCATTCTGCCATCTTGGAGGGTGGACAATACCGGGTTAGGAACTTGTTGAGCAAGTCACCTCATGAAGTAATTGAGAGGGGCGACCTATTGTTTAACCAATGGAGCACTTTCCCCACAAGAGAGTAGGGGAAAAGCCTCAAATGAAGAGCTTCTACAATGAAAAATCACCCTTATGCATCTCTTTGAGGTTCTACGGAGTGGTTTTTGCATGTTTTCTGCTGGAAATAAGATAGGTTTGGAGGTAGTTCTTAAAAAGATTTGGCATGTGCTTGCAAAAATAAAAGAATGTGTAGAAGTGGTGCTTCTCTCAAGAAGATAAAAAAAAGTGAAAATAACTAGAAACAAATGAAAGCAAAAAAAGAGCCACCACAAAAATCTTAACCATGCTCATAAAATAGTGTTTCTTGGCAGTCTGGCTTGTAAATACTGGCATGTTGTTACCTCCTTTACTCTTGTGCTCTAAAGAACCATTGATGCAGAATTGCAGAGAGAAAGTAAATGGTTTGAATGAATGTTGTTGTGTTGATTTTGGAACTGTGGAACCTTGTGTTATGAATTCTTCCACCACCTGAAAGGCATTTTCCCCATGTCCAAGACCCTAGCCAGTCATCTGAACCTGTGTCTAAGACCACCTGACTAGTTAGTGGTGGCACCCGATATGTGAACTCTAGCATCTAGAGGTTTCCGTCATGGTGAAGAGATGTTAAGGATTGAGTGTACGAGTATGCACACATCTTGCATCAAATTTTGTCCTGGCCCCACTGATTGAGAGTAGTGATTCAATTTACATATTGTGTACCCCGGTGAGGACCTAGATTGCTCGGTCTTGATTCTGATGTCTTGAATTTTATGCATGATGTGACTATTTTGAATGAGTGATTGAGTCAAGTCTATGTTGGTCGGTGAACATAAGGGGGACTCTTTCTCTACCTGATTTTGTTGCACTCGAATGTCATCTGTGGTGGTTGTCCCGGTTGTTGTTGTTGTTGTTGTTCATGTGCTGATGTCTAAAGGCTAGTACGATTCACGTGTTTTGGGACTATATGATATGTCTCCAAAGTTTGCATGGTTAAAACTTTTTAAGCTTACCTTGTGTCTGACTTGGTTTGCTTGGGGACATGCAAACGGTTAAGTGTGGGGGAATTTGATAACGTCATATTTGCACATGACCCTTGTTTCTTAACCGTTTTGGCTCAAATTTGTGTTTCCTTAGCCTATTTTATGCTAGGCTATGCTCTTTTGTCAAATTTCAGGTCCTAGTCGTTGAACGGAGGTTTAGGCGCGAGTTTCGGGTCATTTGGAGGTCATTTAATGAAGCTGGAGCAGAATACGGTCGTCCCCTGCCTAGGACACGACCGTGTTTCATCCGGGGTGCACCCGTGATTTTTAGTGCGAGAGTGTTCTCGTCTCAGGAGCAAAAAACGGACAAGAACACGTCCATGTCCATAAAGATTCGCGCCCGTAGATTTTATGTCGAGGGTTGGATCGTGAAGGTAGATGAAGAATGGAAAGCACGGGCAAGACTGGAGAAGAACATGGTCGTGTTCATCGTTGGACACGACCATGTTTCGAGAAGCGACCGTGTAATTCCCCGCCTCCATCTTAAGTTTTCCACGTGACCTGATCAAAACACGGGCGGACACGGGCACAACACGGCCATGTTCCTGACCGTGTTTCGCCCAGTGTCGGGTTAAATAGGTAGATTCGAGCCAAAGGAAGAGTATTTGACTTTTTGGAGCAAAAACATAGTTCTAGCAGGGGTCAGTGGAGCATCCTTTGAGACTTGGGTTGGGAAATCATTGGCTGAGCTTGAAAGCGAGTATTGTAAAAATCTTTCCTCTGGGAGGGAGAGAAGTAATCGCTTGAATAAAGGGCTTTCTATCCTCTTCGGTTCCGGTCACGCTAGTCTAAAACATCTTCCGACTTTTGGCTTCTCTCTGGAAGTCTAAGATAAAGAAAGAAAGGTAGAGTGGGCGCACCAGACGGCCTGATCAGATGTTTTGGTACCAATGCAGTTAGTCTAATGCATTCTGGACTGTCCTTTTATAGGAGTATGCGACCTATGCAGGGAAAGCATAAACCTATTCTAATAAGGTATACCCGTTCGTCGAGACAGCTGGTGGAGCAGGGAGAATGGCTTCTGTAGCTTTACAACCGGAAGAAGGAAAGGCCCATTTTCTATTCTATTAGTAAAGCGCTAGCGCCCAGGCTACCCATGTACAACCTCCACAGATTGCAAAACGGTTGCCCCTCGGTAGAGTGAGTCTACTTAGCGAACTGACAAGACGCGGAGATCAATTGATCAATATGAATCTCGAGAGTGGATGGTTGACCGCCGCCCCTTTGTAAAAGTTCGCCTAATACTCGAATTGAGTTCTCCTTCCACTTTGACTTCGACTATTGCTACTTCCTCACCCGAGATCTTGAATTCTTTTAACAGACAGAGAATGCCCCCGATTCATGCGAAAATCTTTTCGAAGTGAGAGAAATTATTCTTCTGATGATCGATTCAGCCCGCAGCAATAGCTGTGCTTGTACAGGACTCGAGCAATCTTTTTTCTAATCGCAGCGAAATAAATTTACAGTGGAACAAAAAAAGATACCTCTTTGGCTGGGGCGGACCTGAAAAGTATGAAGGAGGTCTGAAAGAGAGAGGTGAACCGGGGGGAAGAAAGGGTGGAAGAGGAGGGACATGTCAAGTATCCGCTTGGGATCATGTCTTCTTAGGGTTATTTTGGATGTACAATTTAATTTCGGTCGTAATTTTCCATTTCAGTTGGAAAAGAGAGATAAAGTGATGAAGAACAAACCCTATGAGCTATTTGGAGTGGATTTCTCACCATTGAAGCCCATATTGCGTCTCCAAGAGTGACACTTGACATCCCAGAGCAGATTATTCCCATCTTTATGAGTATGACTACTTTGATTTATGTTTTCCTCTCTCTCTCTCTCTATGGAGTAGACTGTTACACCCCGCTCTTCCCAAAAGTCAAAATGACTATTATACCCTTGGGTCAAGTGCCACTATATTATCGATGAGGATTAAAAATGTGAGCTAATAGTTCAAACGATTTCGAGTTTCAACATGAAGTGGGAAAATTATGAACGTTATCTGAGTTTCGGATTAAACTCGCCTGTAATTGTGAAATTCCAAAAAAGTACCTTGAATAATTAAACCTAGACTCTACTCGGCCTCACCCTAAAACCTAACAGAGCAGGCTTTTATTTCTTTCTTCACCGAAAGCATGCTCTCCTGGGAAATTAGAATCAAAGCGGCGCTATCTACTCTCCCTACTACGAGAGGTGCGAGCTTAAGCAAGCTGGAGCCCGTGTCACTGTGATCATCAGGAATCGCTCGTTTCCTCCACTGCTCGTCTCCGCGTTATTGATTCCCGTAAGCACGCAGGAGGCTATTGTCATCTCCCTGATGAGCCCAAGGCAGGGCGAAACCAGTTGGCATGCGTATGCAGAGAGGCTGGTCTTGAGGAATGAGTGCACCTTAAGACGCCGCACGGACTTCAGAAGTCTATGTCCGTGACAAGTACATTTTGGTATCAGAGTCGGTCTTCCTTTGTTCCTTGGTTTCCAAGGAATACTGGAATGTCGGTCTCAATTTTTAAAGGTTTTGTTTTAAAGAAAAGAAAAATGAGTCAAGGGTCTCCTTTTAGAAGTCTATAGAATCTCCAGTCTACTCTAATCATATTAAGGTGAATAACTATGACAACACGACACAAAGGGATGGTAGCCCGGGTTGCGATTGTTTAAGAATAGGCTAGGACGCGATTTAGTTAACATGTCGTGGTTTGTCAAATGAGAGATTTAGGCATATGGTGATCGCCAGTAAGAAAGAAAGGATGAAAGAAACGTGACCAACCCAAGTAGAATCTCAAAGGCTCTCAAGACCAAGTATCTCATCGACATGATGGATAGTAGTTTTTCAACTAGTTAACCAACTACTTGGACGTTAGCAAACAGATCATCATCATCAACCTAGAGAAGGAAGGAGGAACGTTGCAAAGGTCTGTGGAGGTAGAATCAAATGTGCGAGGACTTCAACTCCAAACACCAGCAAAGAGGTGCCAATTGAAAGGGAATACCTCAAGGATTTTGAAGGAGTTGAGAGAGTAGTACGAGGATTTTACTACTAGGAAACAAGTGGATGATCTAATAAGCTAAGACAAACAAAGGGGAGAAATATGAATCTCCAAAGGAAGAGGAACAATCACCAGATGCCAGTAGCTATGATAATAGGATGATGTTAGGGTCTTTGGTCCTAAGCAGTGGAAAGTGGGCAACGGGTCAAGAAACGAAGAGGTACCCCGAGAAGTCCCTCAGCTAGTTTTTGTGGTCGATGGCTCAACACCATTACAACACAATGACAAGGAGGAGAGGAATGTTTAGACTTTAAGAAATGCTAGGGTAGTATAAAGGAAGCAAAGGAGGAAATAAGTAGGCTACATGGGGTATGAAAGGACGTCAAGAAGTTAAAAGGACAAGGGGGAGAGGAGTCATGGTCACTTACATAATGACAATAAAGGAACACTTGTAGATAAACTACGTCACTCGTGAAGAGGGTACATGACCTGGGCAATTAGGCCGGTAGCAAGCCTTTATAAGGAACAAGACAAGAGTCAAGATGATCGAGGTAGAGGACGAGCTTGGATCAAGAATAACAATGTGCTAGTTAACAATGCCAAGCTAGAAATAGGATGGATTGGTATATGAGAGACTCTACAAACTACCCAGATCATGAAAGGTCTGGAGGTCGTTGGGACCGTTGAAAGGGGAATGCAAGAGTTCGTGATGATCTGTTATGGGATTGTCCTATCCTAAATGGAGGGAACACCTAGCCACCTAGGGTACATGAGGGTTGACAGAAGGAGGAACCTCTGTAATAAGTTGGGACTAGAGGGCTAAGAGCTGGAGTCTCGGAAACAGCTGTAGGAGTAAGTCATTCAACCAGCCGAGAATAGACAAGGAATTAGAACGTTTATTGGAAGTTCCAATAGATGTTAGAGAAATCGAGGAGAAGTCTCAACGATTGTAATAAAGAGAGTTTGCATACAATACCAGGAAAGAGCAAGAAGGCTAGAGGAAGTTTGACAAGATTTCAAGAAGTCAATTGGTCAAGTCTCAGGTGGGAATTGCAAGTTTCTTTGTGCGAATTTATAGTTAAAATAGCTTAATGATTGGCAAGAAATCTTGAAGTAGAACTGTACTTTGGGAAGCCGTAAGCCCATAAATGTAAAGTGGCATTAGAGATGTCGTAGAGTGTATGAAGTCAAGGAAGGACATGGAAGTTCTGGATAAAGGAGTGGGAATATGTGCAATTGACTCGAGTTCAAGGAGTGTGCATGGAGGAAAATAATAGGAAAGGTCAAAATAGGAATACAGAAGACAACAAGGAAGCTTTAGGTTGACCGCCAATGGAGAACAACTGATACATAGTAAGTCCATCGAGAAATTTGAAGCTCATCGGACAACCTAAAGGTGGAATCGTGGTCATCGAGAATAGTCGAAAGGAGAAACCTTATAGGTCAAAGTACATAAGTGAGAAGAGACTATAAGAACCTAGATGACTACATCTAGAACTAATGAGTAACATCAAGGAGAAGAGTCACGAGTAACGAAGTAAGAAGCATATAAGTTTAGGGAACCTGCTAGAATACCCCAAAGTGAAACCAAGATTGCCTATGCTGGTGAAAGGTTTCAATCTCTCGGGTAAAACTCTATTGGACGGGGAAACCGTACAATAAATTTCAGCTAGGGTCTAAGAGTAGCAGAATGGATAGTACGAGAACTTCAAATTCAGGTGGCGATAAGGAAGTGCTAAGTTAGGTGCCAAGAGTGAACAAGTAAGCCAAAGGGAAGTTCATGACTCTTGAAGGGAGTCATACAGTTGTTAGCAAGCTAGAGAAAGATGCAAAGGATGTCTTTAATGCATACATGAAGTAAAAGCAGCAGTATGAGGTTTCAGAGTTAGGCAAGAAGTAACAAGGAGATGACCACTCAGTTGATGGTTAAAGGATAAGACGAGGCATCAAGTAGGAAAGTAAGAGATATGAAGTTAGGAGGTACAATGACCTAGGTCACCTATGAGGTCAACCCTAGACGAGAGTTACATTAAAAAAAGTTTTACCACATGACTAGATGGAGGATAAGCCGCCAACAGTGACCTTGGGCCCAAGTTGGAAAATTTTGAAAAGGGCAATGTATCACTCAATCCTATTCGATGCTACCGAGCTAGAAGAGAATACCTGTTATGGTGAAGACTACATATAAGAACTATAGTAAGCTATTCAAGACAAGGTAAGGGCACACCATTGAAGTTCATATAGCAAGAGTGAAATCTTGAGCCAAAGAAGCACGAGAATGAGGAGAATGGAAGGATGAGCCCGATCAAATTTCGGGGACGAAATTTTTATAAGAGTGGAGGAAATGTTACACCCCACTCTTCCCAAAAGTCAAAATGACTATTATACCCCTGGGTCAAGTGCCACTGTATTATCGATGAGGATTAAAAATGTGAACTAATAGTTCAAACGATTTCGAGTTTCAACATGAAGTGGGAAAATTATGGACGTTATCTGAGTTTCGGATTAAACTCGCCTGTAATTGTGAAATTCCAAAAAAAGTACCTTGAATAATTAAACCAAGACTCTACTCGGCCTCAACCTAAAACCTAACAGAGCAACCTTTTATTTCTTTCTTCACCGAAAGCATGCTCTCATGGGAAATCAGAATCAAAGCGGTGCTATCTACTCTCCCTACTACGAGAGGTGCGAGCTTAAGCAAGCTGGAGCTCGTGTCACTGTGATCATCAGGAATCACTCGTTTCCTCCACTACTCGTCTCTGCGTCATTAATTCCCGTAAGCACGCAGGAGGCTATTGACGTCTCCCTGATGACCAAGGCAGGGCGAAACCAGTTGGCATGCGTATGCAGAGAGGCTGGTCTTGAGGAATGAGTGCACCTCAAGACGCCGCACGGACTTCGGAAGTCTATGTCCGTGACATAGAACTTTCTCTCACTTGGGTATGAAGAACCCTAGTTCCATGTGTTAGGGATCTTGCTTGTAATGACTTTTCGGATGATATACTGATTGGTTTTAATCGATTGAAGTGTGTTTATTGAGTCAATTGAATCCTGATCAACTTCTCTTTATTTCTGCTTCAACCTGTGATAGATAGAATCTGATTAGGTTGTTAGAGCTTCTTCAATCGATAGTAGTGAATTGATTGTACGAAAGTTAGTCAATTCACTGCTTTGTACTGGAATTCGTTTCCAGTAGTGGAGTTTTGTGTGAATTGCCTTAGCATTCTATCCCGGTGAAGGCTAGTCGTTTGCCAGATAGTCTGTCGAAGAGGTCTTGGTCAGCTTAAGAGATTCCAAGCTACTTTGAGATCTTCCACAGTTTAATTAACAATGAATCAACCAGATGGAATTACAACTTGAACTTAACAGAGGAGCTAGGGGGGCTCATTCCCGAGTGACTCTTCTCTTGCTTCAGAAATAGAACAACTTACTACTTTATTTCTGATTTAGTTTAAATTCACCTACACTCAATCTTTCCCTCTAGATAATAGATAATTACGGAGTAGGTAGTAGATCTAGACCCCGGGTTGATAAGTAAAACTTACCCACTATTCTGCATTTCCATTTTGCGATTACACTTGGTCGTAGATTGATGTTGTGTCGTAGCGAGTCAACTTAGTCTGCTGAAGCTTCTAACAGGATAAGGATTGCATTGATATCCCCACTCACCATCTAGGGAAATCCCTTTACTTGCCAACGACGCATTCGCAAATATGCTCTTACTCTCCCAATCTCATAATTGAAGCCATAATATGCAGCAAAAAAGAACTACTCCTTTGCTAAAATCGAAACCAAAGTGTGAAATTTTTTTTATCTCTTTCTAATACCCTCAATTTAACATCTGTCTTGCAAGCAATCCAGATTATGCCCAACTCATGTGCATTGTAGTTGTCCTAAAAAAACGAAATCCATAAATTTATCCTTAATCTTCTGAGCATTCTTTTGTTTAACCCGAGTTTTAATTAAAGCTAACACCTGAACGCCTTACACACTCCAGCACGGAATTGTGCTTCGAGGGGCAGTTAAAGCCCCTCGTATTCCAAACTAGGATTGTCATTGCTTCAGAGGGGGTACCTTTCGCACCCCTTTATGACTTCTTAATCCTTCATGGCCAACCCTCACAGCTGTTGAATATTCTTGGCATAGATGGCACTAAACGAGTTTGTCTGAGATACCAGAGCAAAAGATCCCAGAGCTATAGGTTTCATACCATTCATTATCATACTAAATTCCTCCTGAAAAGGCTAGGCACTTGTGCAAACTGGGGGAGTTGCAGGTGAAATACATTTAGCAGCCTAAGCTTGAACAGTAGTACTAACTTCCTCTTCTTCTTTTGAATTCCAAGAACTAGCTATATCCACTGTTTTAACTATCTTCTTCGTCCAATTTTTTTTAGAGTTCTCTTCCCCTGCAGCAACACAGTCATGCGCAAAACACTATAAAAATGACAAACTACAGGAGCATTACAATATTCAACTTGGACAAACATCTCAACCATGCCATCAGGTGTAATACTAATCCAGTCGACCCCCTTTTCCTTGGCACTTACCTCTACACAAAACTTTGCCAATCCCACCCTACCCTACCTCACCCATCTTTTGAAGATAGCTCTGCTAGCAAGCCCGTGAGCTTCACCTAGATTGGGACTGGTGAATTGTCGACGTGAAGAGCTTAAATCCCCGTGATTCGGGCAAAATAACACATGTTTTACCCCTATATATATTGGTTGTTTGACTTGGTTATCATCGTTCCTTGACCTATTATACGCGAGGTTGTGCTTCTTTTGTCACATTTCTAGTCCTAGTACGTGTGGGAAGGTCTGAGACGAGTTTCGGGTCATTTAGAGGTCAAAACGAGCCAGAACTTGAAGGTTGTGCAATGTTTATTTTTTATAAGGGTGATATAGGTTTTTAATTTTTGAAATAATTAAGGTACTACTTAAGGGATTTGAACCTGGGACCTCCAGGTTCTAGGCCAGTAGTATTACCACTATGCCAAGCTCTTGTTCGTGGAGGTTGTGCAATGTTCACTAGCAACACTCATTTGTCATGCCCTGAGGGGGTGAAAATCTACCCAGGGACTGAAGAGCAAGACTTCACATGCAACACTCATTTTCCATGCCTTGAGGGGGTGAAAATCACCCACATACCATGAAGTTTGCAAATTGCAGTAGCCATTGTGCATCTCGTAGGCCTAAAAGTTGTCATGGTCCCGTGACCACGAAAATAGCCCAAAATGGTGCATTTTTTGCCGAGATCACCCTCTGCTTGCTATTATCACCCCCACAAACAGTGACCGTGAAGTCAGCACTATCGGGCAACTATACAGACAACAGTTGGGAGAGAGAAAGGAGAGCTGGTTTTTTGTGGAGAACTTGGTTCCCTATCTATGTTTTCGACCCAAAAGGCCAAAACACCATAGAGGAGACTATAGTGAGAGAGAGAGAGAGAGAGAGAGAGAGAGAGTTTCAGTTATTGACTGATTTTGGAGCTTAATTGAAGGCATTGATCAAGTTTGGAAGCAAGGAATCGAGCCTAGAAGTGGAAGAAGATTTTGTGCTCCAATTGTTAATCTCTCTTCTCTCTAGACACTAGCCCTCTTCTCTTAGCTTTAAGAACCCTAGGTATAGATTTTAGTTTGAAGTTGATGTATGTGACATATTCTATGGTTGATTGATGATTTTATCTATTTCATGGATGATTTTCATGGATTGCATGAGTTTGGATTCCATTTCATGTATTGAGCTTTTGACCTAAGAGGGACAAAATCCCCTTAGAGCCCATTTTGGTTTCTTCACGTTGATCCTATCATATGTCGTCCGAGTAATCCCCGAGGGAGTCGATTCAATCGATCTCGTAGCGATATATGAATCCCTAGGTAGAATAGAGCACATACCCATCCATCACTTCGTCGTTCCGATTGTTGTTGTTGTTGTCCATATGTTGATGTCAAATAGCCATTGCGATTCATTTGTTTTGTGCCCTATGACATGCCCCAAAGTTTTCGAGAAAGAAGTTGTAAGCTTACCTTGTTTTGTACTTGGTTTGCTTTGGACAAGAAAACGTTCAAGTGTGGGGAGTTTGATTCGGACAAAATTACACATGTTTTACCTCCCTCATATCTTGATTGTTTGACTTGGTTATCATTGTTCCTTGACGTATTTTACGCTAGTTTGTGCTTCTTTTGTCACATTTCTGGTCCTAGTACATGTGGGAAGGTCCGAAACCAGTTTTGGGTCATTCATAGGTCAAAACGAGCCAAAAAGTGGAGATTGTGCAATGTTCACGGGCAACACTCATTTGTCATGTCCTGAGGGGGTGATGATCTCCCCCCGGGGAGTGAAGAGCAAGACTTTACAGGCAACACTCATTTGTCATGCCCCGAGGGGGTGAAAATCACCCACAAACTATGAAGTTTGCAAATTCCAGCAGCCATTGTGCGTCTCGCGGGCCTTAAATTTGTCACATTCCAGTGACCGCGACAATAACCACGTGACCATGAAAATAGCCCAAAATGGTGCGTTTTTTTGCCGAGATCACTCTCTGTTGCTATTATCACCCTCATGAACAGTGACCATGAAGTTGGCACTGTCGGGCAAATATAAAGATAACAGTTGGGAAAGAGAAAGGAGAGCTGGTTTTTGGAGAACTTGGTTCTCTCTCTAGGGTTTTAACCCAAAATACCATAGAGGAGATAGTGAGAGAGAGATAATTCTTGAGTGATCTTGGAGCTTAATTGAAGGCATTGCTCAAGTTTGCAAGTAAGGAATCGAGCCTAGAAGAAGAAGAAGATCTTGTGCTCCAATTTGTAATCTCTCTATTCTCTCTCTAGAAACTAGCCCTCTTCTCTTAGGTTTAAAAACCATAGGTCTAGATTTTGGTTTCAAGTTGATGTATGTGACATATTCTATGGTTGATTGATGATTTTACCTATTTGATGGATAGTTTTCATGGATTGCATGAGTTTGGATTCCATTCCATGTATTGAGCTTTTGACCAAGGAGGGAGAAAACCCCCTTAGAGCCCATTATTGGTGTCTTTGGGTTAATCCTATCATATGTTGCCCGGGTAATCCCCGAGGGAGTCGATTCAATCGATCTCCTAGCGATATATGAACCCCTGTGTAGAATAGAGCATCTTCCCATCCATCACTTCGCCGTTCCGGGTCAATCCTGAGTGAGTCGATCTCATAATGGTAGTGTGGTGAATCGATCGAGCTAGAATAGTACTCAACATTGATCCAAACGATAGAACTAGAGGAATTCAAGCTAAGAGAGCTCCACCACTTGTAATTAGCAAGGTTAGTGGTTAGCTAGGTTAGTTAGTTTAGTTTTTCTAATCACTATCCTAGGTTGGCTAGATAACAAACCCTAAACGCGAAGTAAGGTAAGCCTAGCTCCCCGTGGTTTGATAAATTTTATTGCTTACTTACCCTATGCTACACCCGATCGTCGGTTATACTTGGCCTTCGATTGGGATGTATAGTTAGAGTCGAGCCACCCCGGCACCCATTTTCGCATACATAACATGTTTTTCCGATAGTAGGGCCCGGCCTAAAAAACCCAGCGAGAAACAGCCTCCACTCGTAACTGAAACAAAATCAACCAGTCCTCGAACCATGAAACCTTCACCACTCCCTCATGACCCCAAAGGTAGAGTTTGATGGGTTTATACTTTATACCCATACTCATTTACTTGGGTTGATTTGAGTTTGTACCCATATTCATATGTGAATTATAGTTTGATACCTAAACTCAATAGATTTTTAGATTTAGTACCTAACCGAGCTGCCAATTTTACTTTTCTTTTCCTTCATTTTTCTTTTGTGCGCGCAGCTCAAGGCAGGTGACAGGTCAGGCAGACAAGGAATGCAGGAAATTTTTTTTGCTACTCCTTCCCATAATACCCTTTCACAAATTTCTGAAGGCTGGAAATTTGAAATTGAACTGGCAGTTTTATTTTTCTGCTATTATATATGCGGGTTAGACCACCCAGAACAAGGAGGGAAAAATAGAAGAAGGATGGGAAGTCGCATAATAGGGGAGGGAAAAAAAGGAGAAAAAGGGAAAAGAAAGAAAAAGTGGGAGAGTTTTCCCTCCACTAGAAGACAAATGGAAAAGGTGAAAAGGGGAAGGGGTGGGCTTGGCGCAAAATATTTTGTTTTTTTATTGGTTTAATTATTTTGATTGAAGATCATTGTGTCTTATTGATCGACGACCATATTTTTAACCGTTCTATTCAATGCAGTCAAAATCGGGATTTTGATCGTAAAATCGTAGGATTTTAGGATTTTACTTAGAGATTCCGATCCTGATTTTACTATAAAATCGGTGGACCTTAAAATCGTTCAAAATCGGGATTAAAAGCGTTAAAATCGTACCAAAATCGGGATTTTGATCCTATGTGAACAAAATAGAAAGCTTGAGCCAATTCAAAAGAAGCATAACTATTTCGGTGAAAAGGGCAATGACGGGAATCTTCTCATATATTTTTCCTATTAAAAAAACATTTGAAAAGAAGAAGAAAAAAAAAAACTAATTAGGGTTCGGTCAACCCCTTTCCCTTCTTATTGTTTAACTCATCGGTAAAACAATTGTCAGAATATTGTTAGTGCGTAAGAATTAACATCATTATTAATAAATTATTTGATTAATGAATATACCAAACCAATAACATTAATTATTTTATTGGAGTTCAGTTATTCTTAGTTTTAAATCATGCTTAGTAGACGATGTTGGAGTACTACTTTGAGTTAAACTACCTAAACACAACATGAAAAAACAAGAGCCAAACCCCATGAGCTCTATCCCTTCCTCATAAATTATTTTGAGTTACGCATTAAATACCAATTAAAATGATGATTTTGGAACATTAATCTAGAAAATTATCACTTTAAATGTTATAAGTCTTTGTGTTATTAATTCTTTACCTTATTAATATTATTATATGTTAATTTCTATATGGTACTTAAAATTCTACGATTCGATTTTACGATTCCGATTTTACCCCGGTTTTCAATTTTTGGTTATATTCTCCAACGACTATTTTTCCAACGATCATGTTTCCAACAACTATATTTTTCGTCATTGATAACGACATATTTAATTAGTGATGAATAAATATGTTCAATTTTAAAAAATATCAGAATTTTCGCCTTTATTAATTATTATTACCTATATAAAAATAATAAATAAAATATCTAAATAAAGTGACAAGATCAACACTAAATTGAAGTTATAATAAAAGACCACTTATCAATTACCTTATTTTTCCCTCCCGACCTATTGTGGCCAAACCTTTTCCAAAATCCATTTTTTCCCCACTTTTCCCACTCAAATTCCCCTCCACCATTGTGGATGGTCTTATGGCTAAAGGTCTCTGTTAAATAGTGTAAAGGTAAGTTTGATATGATTTATAGTGAAGATGTATGTTTGAGAAAAGAAAAAGAATTTTATACTTATAACCCTAATATGTTGTAGACGAAGATGTAGATTAAGAAAGGAAGAAAGGAAAAACCAATTAGGGGCGACATATACCTACTCCGCCCCACCTTCTTCATCGTTCCATCCAAACCCCATTAAAGCTCCCCACCTCCATTAAGGTCACTCACTCACTCACCTCCTTCAATCCTTGTTTGGGTTCATTAAGAAAGGAAGAAAACACATTATCAAGGAAACAAAATTAAGTGTTCACCCCAGTGAGGGAAATAAACTAACAAGACCGCCACGTGCCTAATAAACTAGATGTTTGTAAATTGTAACTGACTGTAACATCGTCATCATCCCCGATTCAATTGTTTCCACCGCAACACTAACCGCCCACATGCCTGCAAAACTAACTTATAACTGCCCTCCTCTACTGCTGGCTTGTTTTTTAACTTTTAACTGCCAACGGAAAGGATCAAAGGACAGCATTGCAAAGACAGAGGACTGTTTTAAAAGAGGTCCCCACTCCCTAGTCCCTACACCACAGTATTAAAAAGAAAATATATACATATATATTAAAAATTCCCAACATGATTATTTTCTTTATTTTTGGAATGTTAGTTGTAAAACGATTTTCCCACAGCGGAGCAGACAAATCATTCACATCCATTTATTCAATCCTTGCCAGCACACCAACACCAAAAACAAATTTGGATGGAATATTAGTATATATATAAAGTGTGTGTGGCTGCTGCACTAATCTTATAGTACCACCACTCAACTCAAAACTAATAATATGCAAAAACCACATTCTAATCAGAGAACCCCTAGTCCACACAACCAATGTGCTTGGAGAGTTTGCTTTAAGTAAGGAGATTACGATTTAAGTCCCATGTCAACCTAATATCCTGTTTAACAACTTTTATCGTGGTAAATTTTACCTCTGTCCTAAAAAAAAGATTGCAACATGTCTCCGTTTGATTTAAGTCATAACAATACAACACCAATTAGTGGGCTAAGAAGTGGCTATTCCATATATTATACACACAATAGGCAGTAATCCCAGCCTCGTAATGATGCGGTTATAGTTGACAATCTATCATGATTCCAACAACCCACATAGGTTTGGGAAACGAAGGCAATACCAGCAGTGAACTGAACTGAACTCATCATCTTAAATTATGTGAAGAATAAATTGTTGCTACAAGTCGAGAAGAGAAGAGCAATAAGGTGGGACAAAAAATAGAAACCAAATGGAAGGAAGATTAAACTCTCACCGTCCCATTAGAGGCACAATCTTCATTCAACAAAAGACATGATATGAGTAGATATATATAGATATATGCAATAAATCCCCCTCCCTCCCTTCTCTCCTCCGTTTTTGTGCAAGTACAACTTTTCATCCTGGTCTTGCTTCAATCATTCCACTGATGTCACAACCCTCTCACCCTGTAATGGCAGGGCTCTTGCTTCTTCTTCTTCTTGTTCTATACAACGAGAGAAATTAATTATTTGCATTATACTAAGAAGATTGAGGAAACCCTCCCACTACCAAACGCCATTGATATAGAGCTTGCTTTCATCAAAAGCCTGCTTCCCCGCATCACTTCTTCACCCCCAAGCAATCATATACCATTTTCTTTCTCTTCTGCATTGCTAAAGGGGAGCACCATGCATGGGAGGGAGGAGATAATTTCTGTCTGAATTTCCAATTTCGTAACTAAATTTTCCAGCAAAATGAATCATCGCATACTGCTAAAAAGCGGCTCGCCCAACTGCTGCAGGCATTCTTCAGGGTTGGAGTAGAAGTAATCCTCTTCCTTAGGCCTGTCTGGGATCACTAGCCGTTTTCCTGGGCTACCCATCCTTGTGGCATGTGCTTCCTTCACCGCATCCGAAAACTCATCCCAACTCAGTGACCCATTCGTATACCGGTCTATCAAATCTACCAATAGCCTTCTCTCCAGTAATATCGTCTTCTTGAACCCAAGAAATCTGTAAGCCATATTACAAAGGTGAAACCAAAAAAAAATTCAAACCTAGATCAGAAAAAATGCACCAACCAACACCAAGTTGCATTAAGATTTAAACAAAGGCCATTGGGAACTAGATATCTTCTGAATCGAGGCAACAAATTATCTAAAGAAGACTTGTCACAACTATTATTCCACAACCAGAATGAAAAGTTCTGCCTGGTATTAGGGGGCATACACAATGTTTTGTCCTCTGATTTGGACAAAATATTAAACTTGGATCCTAAATCACGACCGGAGTTTGTACTCCAAAACCAATTATCTGAAGCCAAACAAAACCCCAGGCATTAGTTTGGAGGGACTACAAACACACGGGGAAACAAAAAATATCATATGCAGAAAAAAATACCTTCTGTGGCCTTCAACAACTTTGGCCATATTTCCGTCATAGGTGGGCACAAATATGTCACTTTCCAATGAAACGAGATAATCCAACGCTGCCATCTGGGACGAGTGATTCTGAAAGAACCTCAGATCTGATGGTTCCAAGAGTGTTTCCTTTCTCACCTGTTTTATAAAAACATAAGGCAACTGGCTTAAGGACCAACCACTCATGCAGCAAGACCAGGTTACCAGCTGATAGAACAATTAGCTACTCACCAGCTTTGGAAAAGCTGCTGCAAGGCTTGCCATTCTCCTCTCCGCGCCATATATTTCACCAGCAGCTATGTAGATCTGCATGCTTGGGTCAATATCCAGTGCCCTCAGAGTAAGGGCAGTCTCCTCTGGGGTCAAAGGGCACAATCCATCTTTCCTTTTAAGATCGGAATTTATTACCTTCTCTTTCCACCAAGGATAAGCATATCTGTTTCAGGGAATCAAATGAAAATGACTCCCCAGTTAGATTAATATTCAGGCTGAGACAATGTTAGCCATACTAGCCAACATAATTTGTCCAAGGCTCACCTCATTCTTGTTAATTCTTCCACTTCTTCCATATTACAGCCTTGAGTACAACCAGAAAATGCCAACATATCCATTTCATATCTCAGGTGAAGTACTAAGAAAGGACCATTTTGCCTGAGAAGTCTTATAACTCTTCTACCCAGCTCCTCTATTTGAGAAGTGAATCTAAGAGCACCGAAATTCACACGACAACGTAGCTTCTGAATCTCTAGAGGCTGATTATTGTTTGCTAGTCTTGTATCTGTTCTGTTAAGATGAAGGACTTTGTACTTCTGTATCAAAGGAAGAATCTGTAGGCCAAGAAAAGAGAAAATGAATAACCAAATACTAATAATAATAAAAAAATGAAAACAGAAACTATAAAATGAGCAATTTATTTGGGATCCTTATCAAATTTGAAAGAATAAGTGGACGGGTATTGCATATAAGTGTGATGCAATATCACAAGTAACAAGCAATAACTTCCTGACCTGGTCGCTGTAGTAGGATATATCTGACCAACTAATTGGTGCCATCGAATAACTCATCCCTAGTTCCACTCTCCTCTTAAGACGGGGAGGCAAGGCTTTCAATATTCGGACCTCATCTCTGAGTGATGTGATGAAATGATCAACATCAAATATGTCCTGGAACTCACTGTTGATAACAAAACAAGAACAAGTTATACAGCAGATTGAGCTTTTCAATGGCAGAGGGGGAAATATTTATCCTCTCAATCAAAAGAAACTGGATTCAGATGTTATTCTAAAAGAGCAGTGAACACACCTGGGATCAGCCCAGAAGGATGTCTTGTCCAACTCTGGGACAATAAGAGTGACATTCAAGTATCTTGCTATGGCAACCATGTCACATATCTGCAAGACATAGGAAACCGAAAACGCAAAAGATATGTGGTAGTCAGTAAGACTGCCCATAATAACAAAGATACAGACGAAGGAAACTAGCTAACCACTCACCGCGGCTCTCATTTGATTCAGGCCTCCATTGCAAGAAACCACAAGATATCCATTGTTTCTATAGACCCCTGGATTTTGAAGAAGAAAAAAAACAGCATATGAGTTAAACTCTGAAAGAATTGCCTTCGCCGACAGGGGAAGTGAAAACAACTTGAGTGGTTGGATCAGCAGCAAGATACAGAGTTATTAAAGATAAACAACTGCATGAAAGGTAAACCAGAAGGTAGAAGGTATTAGTGAGACTTTAATGGTCCAAATGACTTCGGCAATGGGATACCTTGCAGCAGTAAAGCTTGGACACATGCACAGCCCACTAATAACCCACCACAGTCATGTGGTTGCTAGCGATGCATGTATTACTAAATGATGATGACAATGTCGAAAGCATCAGATTCAGGAGTAACATCAAAGACTCTCCATTTCCATGACATCATTCTCACCAAGTGCAAAGACTCAATAATTGAAGCGAATTAGTTAACAATTGACCAAACCCAATTCACCAAAAAAAAAAAAAAAAAAAAACTCGGCGGGTCAAAGAAAACAAACATCTTCTCAGAATCTGGGATCGCAAGCGCCCTCTGGTATCCAGAGTTCCACCGACACAAAATATAATTAGCTTGAGAAGAAGAGTAGTTAAAACAAAAAAACAAAAAAAAGAGGCTCACTCTTGGGAGGCAAAACGCGAGCTGGAACTCCCGGAAGCTTCTCCTGCAAAAGGGAAGCTGACTCGTGGGAGAAACAGGAAGGCCATCCTTTCAAAACCCTAGGCCCCCACAGCTCGCCGATGGTGGTCAATTGAACGATGCAGGTCCACAGCAAGACGGAAGTTGTTGCGCGAAACATCCAGACCTTCATATTAGACTTGGAAAAACTTTTCTTCACTATCTCCACTCCATTCACCAACCGTCCTCGCATCTCTTTCTTCTCTCTCCTTCTGCCTTGTCCAATTTCAACACACTTTTTCTCAGTCCTCTCAATCCTGCACATTTCTCCCCATACACAGTCCTCTCTTGTATCCCCACCTGCAACCGGCAACTCAGGCGTCCTGCTTTCGCCTGCTCGAACAGGGACTGATACCGGACAATGCAGGATCCTCAACGGCAGCTTGGACCCCGTCCCCCTGATCTTACAAAAGATCCGAACTACGGGGAAATGCGACACTGGTCTTCTTTCCCCTTGGGCGCCCGACTCACCAAAGCCTTATCCGAACCTCCGAGATCCGGAATTCCCCAAATACGGAAAGCAAATCAAAACCGAATTTCAAAAGAGAAACGGAACACGTGACTGGTACCTTCAAAAACACGCCCAACTGTGGAATCGCTAATTCGCAGGAAGGCAAAAACCCTAATCCCACTCCCACATTAGCCCGAAATCGTCGACGGTGAAATTTTCAATTCGATTGGCGGGATGAATCTGGAGGAAGATTGGGTTGGCGCATCGATCTCGGGGAAGAATATATATATCTGTATGATAGATTAAATCGGAACGAGCGAGCTCTCAGTTGTTCGCCTGAAGCTGTCGCCGCCGATCGGAAGGGAGCATCAAAAGAGAGCGACAGAGAAAATACAAAGAGAAGGAGACGGCGAGGAAGAAGGGGACCGAACGAGCGAGAGATGGGAGCGAGAGAGAAAGAGAAAAGGAAAGAGAGAAGAAGAAGAAGAAGATGTTTTATTTTATTTTTTTAAAATTATTTTGGCAACTCTCTCTATAACTATGCGGTGTGGTTGGGATAAAGCTATGGTGTGAACTGTGAACCGTATACCGCAACGGATTCACTAAACTCGCATTTTCCTACAGAGCTCTGTGGCTCGTACTTAATCTCGCGCCATTGTCGTCTCTTGTCGTCTTCGTCGACACGCCGACAAAATATCGCGATACGTTGAGAACTTCTCGTTTGCTTCTCCTTTCCTTACTTCCCTTTTTTTTATTCTTTCTTTTGATGCCGTATGTATCATTTCCATGAGGGGGAATTTTGGGGAAAACAAATTTTTAGAGATCCATAAAAATAAATAACTATGTTTGTTTTTTTGTTTGTTTTCTTTTTTCGAGTTAATGAGTTATGACCCCGTTAATGAAGTATGTGCTGCAGTGAACATAGTAATTAATGAATGGGGGATCCAAGTTAGTTAATTAATTGAATTTTTTTTCTTCTTTCATTGAATAATAAATTAAATTTCTCTAGATATGTTTAAGATTTTCTTCTTTACTAGAGGAGAGGTTAGGATTAGGGATGGCAACAAAACCCGAACCTATGGGTACCCACCCGACCCAATCCGATCAACGCGGGTAAATTCCGTGTTGACGGGTTTTGGGCCGGGTTTAAACCCGTTCACTATTCATCGGGTTGGGTTTGGGTTTAGGTAAACCCGACCCATGGGTACCCGCCCACACTCATTTAATTAATTTTCTCGGTATATTTAATATTCTAAACAACTAATCTTATTTATGTTTGTGGAGACATGTCTAATTTTTTCTTTCTAATTGTGTAGAATGAAGTTGATTTTATCTAATGGAGAGTGATGAAACTTAATTAAAAAGAATAAGCTTTCAATTAATCATGGTATTTATGGATAATTTGTGATTTGCTTCAATTTTCTTGAGTTTTCTAGATTGGTGTTGAACAATTTGTATAGTTAATTTGTGATTTGCTTGAATTTTCTAGAATGGTGTTTTAAATATGGATAATTTGTATTAGGAGATTGATATTTGAGTTTAATTTTGGTAGGAACTTGTTATTGTAAATTTTTCATGACAAAAACCCGTGGGTACCCATGAACCCGCGGATACCCAGCGGGTTGGGTTTGAGTTTTTCAAACCCAGTGAATTTTACCCCGGATTTTTTTCACTGATAAACCCATGGGTTTGGGTTTGACAAAACCCGACCCAACCCGACCCATTGCCATCCCTAGTTAGGATGCTAACATCTTATTTGTTAGTAGGATGCTAACATGGGACTAGATAGGGTGACAATCAGTGGCGTAGCCAGGATTTCGTTTAAGGTGGGTCCACCTCGAAAAAAATAAATATGATAAAATAGTTTTTTTAATATAATCTTACGTTGAAAACTTTTGATAAATTAAAATGCATTAGCAGTCGAAAATATCAAGAATATCACTTTGCATATATACCAAACAATCATTGATTTAGTTAGTCGTAGTGTTTCAAATGACGTTCTTTGTTAAGAATCGTTAGTATCAATACCTCGAGTTTTTTATAGAGATTTAATAATAAATCTTATACCAACCAATAATTCATGATTTACCTAGTCGTCCACTTTCGAATGATGTTCTTAAAAAAATATTTAGTATCAATAACTCGAGTTGTTGGAAGATTTCAATAATAAATTGTATCATTTACTACCATGCTCCCTTATTAGAAAGTCAACTTATATTAAATTGATGTTTGCACAAATCGGTATATCATATGCTTAAGAAATAAGGTCGCCAAAATTCAAACACAAAACTTTTCGACCAACTATTCTCAATTAGATGCGACCTAGTTTTCGATATCAATTAACTATCGTACCTTATTCAACCATTTTCCGCCCGAACCAGGATGGGCCTTGGGACCCACCTGTTACCCTCTCCCTCCGCCACTGGTGACAACACTCATTGTGTTAGGGGTGGGCATTCGGTCGGTTCGGTTTCGACCGAACCGAAATTATGAATACCGGGTCCCCGAATTCTCCCAAACCTCAAACCGAATTCGATCCGAATTATAATTTGGTTCGGTCCGTTTAAACCGAACTATAATTTGGTTCGGTTCGGTTTTTCACACAAAACCGAATTTGTGAAGCTACTTGTATTTTCTCACTTTTAAATTATTTTTCACATCTAATATAAATAAAAAATATCAATTATATGCATCATCAATGATAAAACCAAACTTTTCAACACATAAGTCATAAAACATTTCAAATATTTAAGTCTAAAAACAACTACAAACATAAAAATCCACCATTTGGAGCTTGCAATTATAGTATTTCGGTTTTTCGGTCGGAAATTCGGTTCGGTTGAAAGAACCCTGATTTTCGAACTATCCATATTTTTCTTCTGAATTCCGAACCGGATAGCATTAATTCGGTTTTGGTTCGGTTCGGGTTTACCGAACCGTTTGCCCACCCCTACATTGTGTTGTTAGAATAACAACACTAGTATCCAACCAACAGGAAGCTAAGATTGTAATTAATTTTAATTAGTTAGGTTGACCTAGTGTAAAGTAAATAAAACGGTATAATAGTCATTGTGAATATTATGTTTAAAAATCAATAAAAATAAATAATTATAAAATAAAATTTTATTTTTGTCCAAATTTTCAATCGTTAGAATTCGGTCGCCGGAATATACTCAACGTCACCGGAATCCGGTTACCGTGACTGAAATATACTTATCGCGTTGGAATCCTATTACAGTGATCGAAATGTGCTTACCGGCATAGGAATAAGGTCATCGGGACCGAAATATGTGTTATCAACGCTTGATAACACCTATTAGGTGTTATTTAGCCCTTATTCTTAAGGCATTTGCATGTTAAATCATCCTGCCTAGGCCACATATCAAGTTATTTATGTCCATTTTTGTTCCTATTTTCAAAACATGTAATTTGGCATAGGTATTTTTGATACAAAGGTATTCATAGGGGAACCGACCCCACTTTATCATATTTTATGCTCTTCCTATTGTATATGATGAAATTTCAGGTCCTATATTAATCTAAGATTGATCGGGAATTCATTGGAGTTCATCCGAGCATGATTGGGAAGCGTAGGAGCAAGAAGGAGAGAAAAGGCACAGGTCACGGCCAAGAACAATAGGTCATGACCATGTTCGCGGTCGTGAACAGTGGTCACGAAATTCAGTAGGCGACCAAGAATAAGCAAAAAGTTTTTACACCCGAATCGCGAACATTGTGCATTTTGGTCGTGAAAAAGATTGCGGTCGTGATCTCATGAAGGAGGCCCCGATCTCGAAACTTAAGGACGAGTCAAAATGCCCCATTTCGGGAAATTCAAAGATGTTCAAGCTCGTCAAGGCTAGGTCACGGACATGACCGTCGAGTCACGCCCTCGAGGCCCAATGGGAGCCGCCATAGAGTGAGAAAGTTAGGGTTTTTTAGTGTTTTAAAGAGCGAAACACCTTGGGAGAGATTCATTGAAGATCCAATCCACCCAAGGAGCAAGAAGAAGGCGCAAGAAAGGAGAAGAAGATTGATTCCATCACTCCCTCTCTTCTAGTTTGTGTTTTCTTTCTCTCTCAATGACTTGAATCTCTAATGGTTGTTTAGGAAAGATGAGCCATAGTTTATAGGTTGTGTATGTGTGAGTTTTGTATGAATGTGTTTATCTAGTAGGTTTTAATGTTTCTCTAGCTTTAATTGTCCTTGGGTAAGTCACATTAATTTTCTCTACTAAGCCTACTTGAGCTTCTATGTTGGGTATGGAGTTTTAGGGTTAGACGGGTATGCGCCATCTGATAGATTAGGGTTAGAAGAATGAATAGGATCTTGTGGTGGATGAGGCGATCGTACCCCTGCCATAAGAATGCCATCCTAGATGGAACCCGGGATGAAACATCGGTGTGGACGGTGGGTAGTACCTATTGAAAAGAGCTATGTTCTTAAAGCCCCATATACGATGGCCTAGATCAAGGTGACTGACATGGGTTTAGGGGAGGCGTACTAAAAAACGTGAGGATAATCACGAAGGCCCACGGAAAGGAGCTCACTCACCACATTCTCTAAACCCTACATGACAACTATAGGTAGGAGGATTTAACCCTAGGCAACCATCTCATCTCTAGCGATCTCCCAACCACTTGGTTGGTTGTTTAGGAGTAGGTTAGGTTAGGTTCTTCACCAAACTTGCAATTCAATTAGATAGTAGTTCGGAGCAAAGTAACAATAAGCAATCTGTCAAGCAAAAGAGTGAAGGAGGTAAACAACATGCAGGTGCCTCAGTGACTTGACTGCCAAGAAAAACCTTTCTAGAG